CTGAATTGTGTTGGCTTACTTGTCAAAAAGTAATTGGAAGTAAATGTGAGAATTTTTATTGTTTATATGTCTGCCTTCCAACAGTACCATGCTGCCTTTACTACAGTAGCTTTGTAATAAGTTTTGAAATTAGAAGTTATGAGTCTTCTAACTTTGTCTTTTTCTATATTGGCTATTCTTTGTTTATGGTATTTCCATATGAATTTTTAGGATCAGATTTTATTTCTGCAAAAAAGGCATCTAGGATTTTGGTAGGTAGAATTGCCTTGAACATGCAGAGGAGTTTGGGAAGCATTGCCATATTAACAATATTAAATCTTCTGCTCCATGACTTTTGGTTTATTTTTGTCTTAATTTCTTTCAACAATATTTTATTATTTTAAAAGTATAAATTTGTACTTCTTTTGTTAAATTTATTTCTAAGTGTTTTATTCTTTTTGATTCTATTATAAATTGAATTGCTTTATTTCATTTTTTTTTGTTTATTGCTACTGGATAGAGTACAGCTGATGTTTGTTTATTGGCTTTTATCTTGCAATCTTGCTTAACTGGATTACTAGTTCTAAGAGTTTTTTAGTGGATTCCTTAGGACTTTTGATACGTAAGACTGGGTCATCTGCAAATTGAGATAGTTTTACTTCTTTCTTTGCAATCTAAATTCATTTTATTTCTTTTTGTACCCTAACTGCACTGGCTAAAACCTCCAGTGTAATGTTGAATTGAAGCAGTTAGAGTGGACATCCTTGTCTTATTCCATTAAAAAAATGATTAGTTAAAAAATTTTTTTCTTTTGTAAAATATATAGGTGGGGGTCTCACTACGTTGTGCAGTCTGGGCTTTAACTCCTGAGCTTAAGTGATCTTCCCTTCAGTCTCCCAAAGTGTGGGATTACAGGAATGAGCCATCGTGCCTGGCCTCTTATCTTGTTCTTGATTTTAGGGGAAAGCATTCAGTTCTTTACCTTCAAGTGTGATCTGGGTTATGATTTTTTAATAGATGCCCTTTATCAGGTTGAGAAGCTTCATTTTTTTTTTTTAGCTTTTTAAAAAATCGATACATAGTAGGTGTACATGTTTTCAGGGTTCATGTGATCATTCCATACATTAATATAATCAGATCAGGGCTGTTGATATACCCATCATCACCTTAAATATTTACCATTTCTCTATTCTAGGAACATTCAAATTATTCCCTGTGAACTATTTTGAAATGTACAGCTTTTTGATGTTAGCTATAGTCACCCTACTGATCTACTAAATAACAATTCTTACTTCTTCCATCTAAGTGTATGTTTGTACCCACTAATCAACCTCTCTTCATCTCTCCTCCCCCTACCCTTCCCAGTCTCTAGTAACCACTAGTCTGCTGTCTATCTTCATGAGATCTAATTTGTTAGCTTCCACATCCGAGTCAGAATATGTGATATATGTCTTTCTGTGCTTGGCGTCTTTCACTTAACATAATGTCCTCCAGTTACATCTATATTGTTGCAAATGACAGGAATTTATTCTTTGCCCAGCTAATTTTTTATGGCTGAATAATATTCCTATCTATCTATCTATCTATCTATCTATCTATCTATCTATCTATCTATCTCATTGCAGTTGTATTTGAAACAGGGTCTCAGTCTTTTGCCCAGACTGGAGTGCAGTGGCATGATCATAGCTCATTCCAGCCTGGAACTCCTGCACTCAAGTGATCTTTGCACCTCAGACTCCCAAGTAGCTGGTACGAGAAGTGTGTGTCACCATGCCCAACTAATTTTTGTGTTTTTTGGTAGAGACAGCATCTTACTCTGTCACCCAGGCTGATCTTGAACTCGTAGCCTCAAGTGATCCTCCTGCTTGGCCTCCAAAGTATTGGGATTTATAGGCATGAGCCACTGTACATGAACACATTTTCTTTATCCATTCATCCACTGATGGACATTTGGGTTGATTCCATATTTCCGCTGTTGTCAGTAGTGCTGCAATAAACATGGGAATGCACTTATCTGTTCGTTATTGATTTTCTTCTTTCTTGGATATCTACCCAGTTGTGGAATTGCTGGGTCATATGGTAGTATTATTATTATTATTTTTTGAGATGGAGTCTCGCTCTGTTACCTATGCTGGAGTGCAGTGGTGCGATCTCAGCTCACTGCAGCCTCCGCCTCCCGGGTTCAAGCAATTCTCCTGCCTCAGCCTCGTGAGTAGCTGGGATTACATGTATGTGCCACCACACCTGGCTAATTTTTGTATTTTCAGTAGAAATGGGGTTTCACCGTATTGGACAGGCTGTTCTCGAACTCCTGACCTCAGGCGATCCACCCGCCGTGGCCTTCCAAAGTGATGAGATTACAGGTGTGGGCCACCATGCCCAGCCTTTAGTGTAGCTTTTATTGAAAAAAAAAAAATCCACGTATGAGTGGATCCAGGCAGTTCAGAACTTTGTTGTTCAAGGGTCTACGTAACTTTGAACTTGTCTCTCGCTTTTAAGACATTAAATAATTTTAAATTCTAATGACAAATTTAATTTTAAATATATTGATTTAAGGCATTACATTACAACTTTTGACAATAATGATAATAGTAAACTGCCAGACATTTCCAAGTTTCATGGCAATATCGTCCTTGAAATTGTATTGAAAAGCAGGGAAAAAATAAGTTTAGCTACTCTACAGTCTCAGTTACTTGCTTTAAACATAATTTTGGAAAACAATACTTTTCAAAACAATTAACATGGTTTATGATGGGATACAAAAAAAGGACAAATTAACTTCTGAAAATGACTCAACGGAAGCTAGAATTAATTAATAAGGAGGTAATTGAATGACTGCATCAACCAGATGAAATGTGAAATGTGAGTTTTTTTAGGTATTCTGTGCCATTTAAGGCTTATCAGAATTAAAGGTAGTGACAAGTAGAAACTGTCTGATATATCAATGATTAATAATAATGTTGATGATAATTTTGATAGGTGATTTTTATTTTGTGTCAAGTACTGTTCTAACATGTTTACATATGGGCCAAGAATTGGATTATCAAATCAGACTGACGTGAAGTGGAGATGTTAATCAATGTTAAGCTTTCCTTATAATTTCAAGAATACAAGCAATCAAAAGGTTCAGGAAAAGCAGAGACAGGTCCAGGACATTGAGAGAGGCCCCCAGATCCTTTCTTACTACAATAGACAAAACTCTGCGGCCCAGAGCAGTAGATGAAGTCCTTAATGAAATATATGAGTTATTAGCAGGCAGTGTTACAGGCTGTGAAACATCTGCATTTTATACCCAGATAGTTGCAAAGCTCATGTCCTGTGCCCCGTGCTCCATGTCCCATAAATCTGTAGATTCTCAGTTTATCATAGTAATCCTAATCCAGGGGCAGTCTGCTAAAAGCTTTTTATGGGTAAGTAGTCTTTTTTAAAATTATTATGCAAACACCGTTAGTATTTTTGCCAGCTATTGGCATGCTTATAAGGAGGTTTGACCAGATTTTTTACTTTCTTTCTTTTTTTTTTTTTTTGTGAGAGAGTCTCTCACCCAATAGGAGAAAAACACTGCTTTAACTCTTTCTCCCCAATAAATTAACCCATTTAAATTCAATTAATTTTTTTTTTAGTATAAACAAGATAAAATATATCAAGAAAGAATTTAAAACATTTGAAACATCAGATCGGTTTCTAAAAAATCTTTTATTTTTAGTTTGGTTTAGTTAGGTTAGTAGGCATGGGGGAGAGAAATACACTGAGAATTATATAGCAAATATAAATATTTTCCTATTACCAACAGGTACTCACAATAGCAATTTATTTTATTAACTTTTTTGTGTGTGTCTGCACATTTCATAGACAATTCTTTTTTCTAGTTCACATTAGAAGATTTGAGAAATCATATAATTCTTTTAATGTTCAATTATTTCTTCTTTCTCAACCCAACCTTCAAATCAGGATGGAGATCCAGTTCGCCCAGGAGTAGCCATGACTGATCTTGCCACTGGCCTGTATGCATATGGAGCTATTATGGCTGGATTGATACAAAAATACAAAACCGGGAAAGGACTGTTCATTGATTGTAACCTACTGTCATCACAGGTAACAATCCAAATAATATTTCAGATAATGTTATAAAAACTATGTCTGGGTTATACCTTTTCAGATCAAATTCTGTGGTCACATGTACAAAAATAATACAAAAACCAACACAACAACAACAAAAACTGTTTTGTTTTGATGTACTTTCTCTCTCTCTCTCTCTCTCTCTCTGTCTTTCTTTCTTTTTGACGGAATTTCGCTCTTGTTGCCCAGGCTGGAGTGCAATGGCGCGATCTCGGCTCACTGCAACCTCCACCTCCTGGGTTCAAGCAATTCTCCTGCCTCAGCCTCCTGAGTAGCTGGGGTTACAGGCATGTGCCACCACGCTCAGCTAATTTCGTATTTTTAGTAGAGATGGGTTTTCTCCATGTTGGTCAGGCTGGTCTCGAACTCCTGACCTCATGTGATTCGCCCACCTTGGCCTCCCAAAGTGCTGGGATTACAGGCATGAACCACTGCGCCCGGCTCATGTACTTGTTTTCATATTAAAATACACGGACCATGAAGATTTTGTTGCAATGTAGACATCATTGTTGAACTCAAATTTTCCAGGCTGTTTTTACTAGAATGTGTCTGTTGCTTCTTGTAAGACAAGAGATATAGTTGCTTCATATGTACCCTATAACTTCTTTTGACTTGTTTCTTCACCTTTTATGTGCCATGAACCCCTTTGGTAGTCTGGTGAAGTCTGGACTTTTCCTTGCAATTGTGTTTTTGAACACATAAAATGAGGTACTTAGGATTACAAAAGAAGCCAGTTATGTTGAAATATATTCAATGGAAAAATCAATTTTCTATTATTAAAAATATAATTTTTTCTAACACATTAAACCACAATATCTAATAGTGGGTATAACACTATTACAATTTTGAAGTCGTGTGGAAGATAAATGGTATTTCATGGTATCTGTAGTAATTGTAATATGATACAATTGTAATATGATAATATTTATTCGTGATCAAGTCATAGGTACTCTTGTGGTTTGTCACCTACATTTATAATAGAAGAAAATGCTAAATTTTAGTTAGAGGTTGATGAAAATAAAGATATACTTTTTTTTTCACTCGAGTTGATGAACTCCCAGAAATCTGTTTATAGACCCCAGATAAAGAATTCCTGGTTTCCATACTTATCAGTTATGTTGTGCTAAATACTAAACTAGGGGAATAAAAGGGTTAACTCACTGTCAGAATGACATTTTGCCTTCTTTTCACTGGATCAGACCCAGATGCTGTACCATATGTGGAAGTTGATTCTGAATAGATAATTTTTCCGTGATAGAAAAAGAAAATATCTGATTTGTGCATGGAGACATTTTACTGTGGGAAAAACTACTTTCTAGACATAGAGACCCCAGTTGGGAATTTCAGATTTAAAAGGCATACATGGGAAAATAGTAAACTTGGAACACTGCTTTGGATATTTTTTCCTCTTAGGCAAAATTAAGGAGGTATATAGAAATAAAAAAATCAATATAGTTGAAAATGAAATACTACGTATGGGTTTTTACATAACAGTAGCTTCGAGTCACAGTCAGAATTTTAATGTTTCTATAAAAGGGTGAAAGAACTCTGTTCAAATGAATGGTTTCACTCCTTAATAAAGAACTACAGATGTTAGTTATGGGAGGGTGCAGAAAGTCTTTTCTTCCCCTAATTCTAAGCTGTAAGGAACCTGAGGTAGGGTAAGCAACTGAATAAAAGTTGCACATCCAATAAGTTTGGAAGCCATGAAGGTTTCATGGGTGTGTAACCTGTGCAGTCATGGGTAGCCCTGGGCTTAGTTAAATGTTCTGCTGTCACTGTCTTGAATTTGTTAATAACTTCCACAGGAGGCCCGACAGTTTTTTTTTTTTTTACATCAGGACTCACAGATCATGTAGCAGGTCATGGAGTTGGGACTCTACTTAAGTCTCCTGATTTTTACCTAGACTACTTTACTCTAATGTGTAAAGAGTATTGTATTGTTTAGATGAGTATCGTAGAGTTTAATTCGCTTCTAGCATGTAACTAGTGGTTCACCATGTGAAGGTGTGTATTTCCCTGGGAGTAAGGGTGGGGAAGGTGGAATCACCGCAGGGCCCCTTCAAAGTGAGGGCACAGTGAGGGCAAACTCATGCATATACATACAGATATATAGTCAGTCATTTTTGGGGTGTGTGTATGTGTGTGCGTGTCTGTGTCTATTTTTATTGTCCATGTCTCTCCCTGAGACTGTAAATTCTGTGATGGCTGGGACAATGTTTTTGCTTACAATGGTATCCTCAATGCCCAGCCCAGCCTTTGTCAAAAATTGGTTTTTCCAATTCTTTGAGATCAATGTGAGAACTGCTGTTACCAATGGGAATGTCTCGTAACCCTTAGGTTTGCCAGAGAAGATGAGAAAAGATGGTAAACCATTAGAATTACGATAAGTACTCAATAAACAGCTAATGATGAGATTATTTGCTTTTGGCAAACAGTAGCAGTGATTTGGCCTATTGTACTACAGTTAACTCAGATTGCTAAAATTAGTGTATTTCAGTCACATTAACTATCTTTCTTTTTTTCTTTTTCTGTAAGCTAAGCTGGAGTGCAGTGATGTGATCTCAGCTCACTGCAACCTACGACTCCCAGGTTCAAGCACTTCTTGTGCCTTAGCCTCCTGAGTAACGGGGACTACAGGCGTGTGTCAAAACTCCTGGCTAATTTTTTTTTTTTTTTTTAGAGACGGGGCTTCACCATGTTGGCCAGGCTGGTCTTGAACTCCTGACCTCATCACCTGCCTTGGCTTGCCAAAGTGCTAGGATTTATAGGTGTGAGCCACTGCACCCGGCCAGGGCCACTGTGCTGAGCAAGAGTTCTGTTTCTTTATCCATAAATTCTAATAGGTGATGGTCTTTTAAGGCAAAGAATATGTCTCTTCATAGACTTGCTACAGCTGCGCCATTCAGAATAGCTTCTGGACTGTGAGTAGTGGTTAGAGAACTTCAAAAGGCAGTTGTAACAGATAATTTATTCTATAGCTTACCTGAAGTGCAAGGCAATGCATGGTAAGAACTTTTTCACTCTCTGGATTCACTGCATCCTGAGCTCTGTTTTTCTCTGTTTGCCTCTGCTTTATTCCTTGTCTCTGTCCTCCCTTTCTTCTCATGTGCCCTTCTCTAGCTTGGGCATCTCTTTTCTCTTCTTTGTCTCTCTCGTCTATCTTTACTTTCCTGTTTTCCTTTCTCCTCTATGCTGTCGACCTTCTTCCCTCTCCCTCCTTTTTATCCATCCTTCCTTATGTGGAAATAAGATTGTAGCCGTTTTGGTTTCAGATCTTGCATTTTTTTTTTTTTTTAAGGAGATACGATCTCGTGCTTTTGTCTAGGTTGGAATGCAGTGGTGCGATGATAGCTCACTGCAACCTCGAACTCCTGGACTCAAACAATCCTCCTTCCTCAGCCTCCGTAGTAGTTGGGACTACAGGTGTATGGCATTATGCCTGGCTAATTTTTATATATAGATATTTTTAGAGATCAGGGGGTCTGACTGTGTTGTCCAGGCTAGTCTCGAACTCTTAGCCTTAAGGGATCTTCCTGCCTTGGCCTCCCAACATGCTGGTATTACAGGTATGAGTCACTGCATCCAGCCAGATCTTACATTCTTACACCATATTATTCCGAAAAGTTTCAGAATCTTACAGTAGTTCCTATGAGAGAAAAAGGAAGTTCCCTTTTCCTAGAAGTTCCAGAAAGCAAGAACATAATTTCACTGGTTTAAGTGACCATTCCTAAACTGATAAATGGGGCCTGAAAGATAGGACACACTGAGCAGCTTAAGCGATTCCTGGTACTAGAGATGGGGTTAACTCCACCCAAACCGTATGGCTGAGACTGGGGGACAGGTGATTCCTCCAAAGAATGGTATGGTTATTTTTTGGCCAGAAGAGAGGGAAATGGATGCTGGGGAAGCAATCCACAAATATTTACTCTCCTAATGTAGAGGGTTGTTTTTAGGATCTAATGCAATAAAGGATGTGAAAAATACTTTGTAAATCAGAAAATATGATGACAAAAAGCATTAATTTTATTTGGTTATTGAAAAAATAATTCACTGTTAGTAATGTGTTGAGATTAAAAAGTTGACTAACAACATAATTATTTTATCATAATTATTATAACTTTTCATAATAGATAAACCTTGACTGACTTCAATTTGTCTTTCAATTTAAGATAACACTTATAAATTCTAGATCCAAAAACCAACCACAACATGGTTAAAATCTACTTTATGTAAATAAGGAGTGCTATTTCTAGGTACTTTTTAAAAAGCATAACAGGAAACTTCACCTTTTTTTAAATTAAAAAATAATTCTTTTTTTGGATATAAATGTTCACCTGCATTAAGCAGATAATATTTGAACTTAATTTCAGCTGCCTAGAAAATGAATACAATTTCATGCAGTAGTAAAAAACATACTTTTCTACTCATTTTGATTATATTATATGGAATGACGAATGATTATAACATTGAACATTAGTTGCTAAAAATTAAATTGTTATACTCCTCTTAAAAGTGATCTAGTGTAAAAAAGACAATTTACACCCGATTGGAATAGTAGCTGATTATTAACTCAGAAACGATTGCCTCAGCCACAACAAAACCATTTCAAGTAGTTCATTATAGAGACATGACAATTGCCAGGATGTGGTTTGTAGTGGGCACTACATTTTTTATAGTTTTAAGGCTATAACTTTTAACCCTTTTCAAAAAGTCTGAATATGATTTAAATTTGTCTAGTCAAGACAACTAACATCAGCATCTAAACAGTGTTCTTTAGATGACGTTGGTAAATAACAAGGAAGTGGGTTTAGATGTGGTTCTACTTATTCTATTGCTCTATTCTTCTGTTGTGGCTTACAGAAATATCTTTTGGAAGTTTTAATATCCTTCCTGTACTTAATTGCAACCAGGCTCCCTTAATTACTACTACAATGAGTTAGTTTTTTTAGCACCATAATTATTTTCACATACAG